CAATATTCAGTGTTTTGTTCACTTGTCTAATTGGATTAAAATATTTAGCTCCCTTTAAAATCTTGATCGTGAATTTATATTGCAGAATGGAGTGTCTGACTGGGGAAGCCATCCGTGGAACACATATCTGAAGCGATACACATTTCCATTTCTTCTTCTTGCATGAGTCTTACTCGGCGATCTTTTGCTCCTGGACAAAGTGAATTGTTAACGAGAGTGAGTTTGGCCTCTGTGAGGCCAAATGTGCTTTTCAATGACGATCACCCACAGGGCCTGCAGCGTAACAACCAGAAAGTTAGATGCTGCTATTCAAGTTGCTCAGGGAAGTTTCTCCGGAGTCCGGACCCTCAGGGGAGGAGCGCAGCAACGGGGTCTGATGTCATCTTTGCAAACACTCAGGCAGCAGGGAGTTAATGACATTTGAGCTGCATATGTTCAAGTGTATTTAAAAAAATATGCAAGTCACTTTGGTTGACAGTGTCTTGTACACAGTTTTGAAAGAATCAGGGCAAACTTTAACAGAGTCAGTTTTTATTTGAAAAATATTTTCTGGGAATGTATCAGTGTTTATTTTTGAGACTGACAATTCGGGTGAAAATCGGGATAAAAACAAAAAAACAACAATTTGGTTGAAATCAAATTGTTTGTTTTCATCTATTTGGAATTCTTTCCAAAAAAAAAAAATCTGGGTTCGGGAGGAGGCTTTTTAACTTATTTTTATTTAGTCTATTTGCTGTTCTATTTAAGCACCATCTGTCTTCAGGTAGCGAACTTCACAGAAGCACCTGCACCCTCTGGGGACGACCCCACATAGCTGTGGACCCTCCGAGTCCCAGCTCCGCCTCGCCCGAGTCACCAGGCAGCCGCGCCTCCCAGCGGGCCCCGCCTCCCAGAGGCCTCAGTGAGCTCTCTTTTTAAAAAGTATTTTATTTGTTTATTTTTAGAGAGAGGGGAAGGGAGGGAGAAAGAGAGGGAGAGAAACATCAATGTGCGGTTGCCTCTCATGTGTCCCCTACTGGGGACCTGGTCTGCAACCCAGGCATGTGCTCTGACTGGGAATCGAACTAGTGACCCTTTGCTTCCCAGGCCCATGCTCAATCCGCTGAGCTACATCAGCCAGGTCGTGAGCCCTCCTTTCTGAAGGCGTCCCTTCCCTTGGCTTCAGGTCACAGATGGGCCTGATTCCCTTCATCGTCTCCTGGGCCTTCGTTTCTCGAGCTGGGTTTTCAGCTCTTTCCCAGGTCCTTGGGTGGAACGAGATCAGGCCCACGACCCCGATAGGATCACGTAGGGCTCCCGGGCCTGCAGGCTCGTCCGTATCAAACGGAAATTAAGTTTGCTGCCAAGGAGGCTCAAAGTCACAGGGCCACCGGGGTCCTCGCGGGTAAGTCCGTCTCGGGGCCATTTTAGAAACTGCAAGAGACTCATCCGAAGGGACTGTGAGGACCCCTCCCCAGACCGAGCGCCGAGGACGGAGCCAAACAGCCGTTGGAGTGGCTGCTGCCAGAAAACCCAAGTCGACCGAAACCACGTTCGTCACCAAACAAACACAGTCACCGTGAGCAATGGGACAGTCCTCTAAGTGGACAGACAGCCTCGCTCCTTTCCCTCTCTCAGACGCCATTCTCCCCGCAAAGGATTCTCATTTCTTCACCAGCTGGCACCCCCCGCTCCTGGCCAGCGGGTAGTGTCCCCAGGCGCTGGGTCACGACCCCTGCCCGGGCTCCCAGCTGTCAGGCTCGCTTCACGTCCCCAGGGACCCGGGCTCCTGTCCTGGACACCAGGTCCGCCCCCGGGGGAGCCGCCTCCGTGAATGCCGGACCCGCAGACTGAGGCAGAGGATGGCACCAGGATCTCCACAAGGACCCGACCAGCCTCTTGTGACATTTTAAAAGCCGTTTTCTGCAGCCCCTCCCACCCCGAGGGAGGCAGGCGGTCGAGAGCCATTGCTCTTAGGCAGTGCTGAACCAAGAGCAAGTCCATGAAGGAGCGGCCCGCTCTGATCAGACTGGCCCGCTCACTGCGGCAGCGGTGAAGGGCGGGATGGGAGTTCTCCCGGCCAAAAATGTCCCCGAGGCTCAGCCCGGCCTAGACCAGCTCCCTCTGCCCGACACCCTGGGGCAGTTGTTTCAGAGCTACGCAGACCCGATTCAGAATCATCCTGCCCTCGAAGCAGACTGATGTTTCCTGTCAGAGGCCCCGCGTCACCTGCTTCAGGGCTGGGTACAGGGGAACAAATCTGGGAGGTGACTCAGCTCAGAGCAGCTCCACAAGCAGCTCAGAGGAAGTCTCCACGCTTCTGTGCATCCTAGGTGCACAGAGAGTTTCGCAGATTGACACTGACGTGCAAAATTACGTGATTGTGCTTCATTTAGCCAGGCTGGGAAAATGCAAGCCTTTAGCCAAACACATCCCAAAACCAGAGAATACCTGGGGCAAGCGGCAGCCTTACTTCAAGGGCTCGTTGGAAGCGAGGCTCACAAGTCAAGTTTATTTTCTGTGGGTGAAGACCTTGGGTGGGAGAGCAGGCCTTCGGTTTAGATATTCAGCAGAGAGCTTGTCAACCCCGCCCCCCCCCCCTTTGAACACCTGTATTTGCTGCTGCAAGGGCCCCTCAGACAAGCTTCTTCGGTCATGTTCATACTTAAATTACTCCCCCCGTACCATGTGACTCTGAAACCCCCCTAGAGAGGACCCAGACTGGCCGGCATTGGACAGCATGGAACGGCCAGACCGTGGACGCTGCTTCAGGCGAGGGAAGAAAGACCTGCTCGTTTTTGAGGGATTGTTTTGAGGTTTGGGGGTTTTTCTTTAAGTATTTCATTTGGCCACTCTCAGGCTTTTAAAGACCTGGAAGAGGTTTCTAAGCGTCGATGGTCCAGGGGAGGTCTGGGTGGACAGACAGGCAGATGGGGAATTAAAAGGCACACCCCATGTGACAGTGATCTGGTCCAGAACAGAGAGGGAACCGCCCCTCGGAGAGGACGCCCCGCAATCCACTCCGTAGGTAGCTCCTGGCCCTGAGCTGCCGGGACCGCTCAGGCCATGAGTCACGTCCCTCCCCCATCCCAGGCGGGAGTTGGTCACCTGTCAGAGGCCCACCGACCTGACCTTCGGCCAGCACCAGCCAGGGCGTCCCGCAGGACGGGCTGGAACGTCAGGTTCTGGGCACGTCTGAGAAGGCGGGGTGGGGGGGGTCCCTGTGCTCCGCTGCCAGGGCCCCACGGCCTCTGCCTTCCCTGGGCTCCTCGGGGTCTCTCAGGTGTGGGAGGGAGAGGAAGAGGACAGCCGGACACTGCTTCAGTGCACTGTGCCCGGCTGCCCCACACCCGGGTGTCCCTTTGAGCTGGGCTGGTCTGACGCCCGCTGTGCAGACGGGGAAACTGAGGCTCAGCAGAAACGTCAGGGACTTGCTCGGGGCGGCAGAACAAGACACAGTCGGGAATCGTTCCCCGTTCTCTGTGCCTGCAGACACCGCCAAGGCTCTCGGGCCTCCGCGTCCCCCAGGACGACCCAAACGGCCTGTTACAACGCAGGGCCCTGGGCCGGAGGTGCCACTGGAGTGTGTGTGAGCCGCGGCCCCGGCAGCCGAGGTCCCTGTGTTTATTCCTTCACAAGCACCTCTGACGACGGGTATGTGGTCGTGCCCTGGGCCTTGAGCCGCGATCACCCCCCCTTCCCTGTGAGCAGCCAGGACCTCTAAGGGGATCGTGGGCTGAGTGGAAATCATCAGACCCCGAGACCCATCTGGCACATGGTCATTCTGAAAGGACAATGAGCGACGATTTCTCAGCCTTTTCATTTCCAGATGCATTTTCCCATGAATCATGCCCGGCACGTACGGGTGACGTCCCCCGGGCACTTGCGGAGCACCTGGGCGCAATCCTGGTGGCAGGCCGAGGCCACGGCCGCCCGCTGACCACCCCGGGACCCAGCAAACCGCAGGAACCGGCAGAGGGCCAGCCTCCTTCACAGGGAGGGAGGCGATTCGGGGGAAAACGCCTCACGCTGTGCTCCCGACTCACCTGGACAAGCTTTCTTTCCTCTACTACCTACGCTCCCAGCTGGACGGGAGACGTCTGCCCCGTGGAGTCAGAGGCTCTGCGGCAGGGTCCCTACTTGCTGGCTGCGTGGGCCTGCTTGAGCCTGTTTCCCCACCCATAGAATGGAGATGGTGGTCCATCCCACAGGGAAAGGGAGTGACTGCATGGTGCGTGTGACCCTGCGGCACTCAAAACCTTCCTCTCTTTTTTTGTTTGTTTTTATTCTCACCTGAGGGCTTTTTTTTTTCTTTTCATTGCTTTTAGAGAGAGAGGAAGGGAGAGAGATAGAAAAGAGAGGAGCATCAATTGGTCACATTATCGTATGTAGCCTGACCAGGGATCGAACCCACAGCTTGGGGATGATGTGCCCTGATGGGAAACGAACCTGCGACCTTTCAGTCTACAGGACAATGCTCCAACCACCTGAGCCACACTGGCTAGGGTGGTAGGTTATTCTTTTTCGGCATCTTTTATTTTTCAGTAAACTTTTTTGGTTGTGGTTTGGTTAAAAAATGTCTCTTTAAATGGGCTTTGATAACCCTCCCCACCCCCCGAGAAGTCCTAGCTCAGTTATCAGGTACCTTAGGTCAAGACTCGTGCGTTCCATTCCCGGTGACCTCCCGAACCGGGAGCACCCCGTCCCCAACCAGTGCGGCCGTCGGCCTCCCCGACGCCTTCCCGGCACCCAGCCTCCTGTCCCAGGCTCCCATAGGCGCAGGCGCCGACCTTCAGCACGCAACACACAGTGTGGCTTCTTCATTCTCCAGCCAACATTCAACTCCCTCAGGGGGACAGGCCCGACCCGGACCCCGCATTTCCTTGGGCCCGCACCGCGCCCTACCCAGTCTGTAGGACCGCCCTGCCGGACGTCAGCTGCCCGTTAACACGCAGACCCCGGTGCGCCCTCTGGCGGTGAGCCTGCCCTGACCCCCGGCCGGCCCTGGGTGTGCACGGTACCTGGGATCTCAGCCGCTCCACCTCCTCCGACAGGGCCTGCCGCTCCAGCAGGAGCCGGCTCTGCTTCTGCAGCAGCTGCACCAGCTGGTGGGCGGTCGCCTGGCCGTGCTTGTCCAGCTGCCGGAGCCTGGAGAAAAAGCCACCGCAGGTCAGACAGGGGTCCTGAGAACCGGGGCGGAGGCCGACTTCGGCCCTGTTGATGTGTCCCATTGCTTGCTCATCTGAGGGAGTGCCTGGCAGTGAACTTGAGCTGTGGTCTAGGGCGACCCTGAGGAGGGGGGCCTCGGCCAGCACTGACCCTTGGGCTGCCTTTGGCACCAGGAAGGGAGTTGTCCCGAGTGCGAAAGGAAATTGGCAGGCTTCATCATCAGCGAACACACCGATCTAGTTGGATGACTAGCAGAACTACAACTTTAAACTCACAGAGGTCCAAGGCCTGCACTGTTCATCAGGAACCGTCCGGGCCAACGGCAGCCCAGGCGGGGGAGGGGCGGGGAAGGGTGGGGCCCCCGGCGGTCCATCATCGGCCGCTCAGGCAGTCACCCGCGCTGCGGCATCGCCGACCAGATGTCTTTACAGGCCCTAAATTTGTCATTCTGCTGATGGGCTCTCCTCTCCAGACTTGCTAATTCCCTCCAGCTATTGTGCTCATTTGTCCACAGACGCTTCCTGTGCAGCGGGTAGCACAGCAGCCATGGGACGGAGCTTTCAGATTAAATTTAGATTGAACAAGTGGCCAGAACTGACTGTTCCGGGGAGAAGTTCGCCATTCGCATGCCGTCCCCTTGCTGTCCTCACCCACCAACGGCACCAACGGTGAAATAAACTTCTATTTTCCACACGTGAAAAAAGAGGATGTGTAGCTTCAGGATGCATTTCTGACTCCAGGCCCCATGGCCGACACCGACACCGGACCGAAGCCTGTCCCGGACACTGGCCTGGGGCCGCCCTGGGTTGGAGCTCCCCCAGGGGGCATGGCTGTCACAGGGAGTTTCATTCACTGGCAGAGAGGAGACAGACTCACGCCCAAAGCTCTGCCTCCCGGGAGGCTGGCTTTCCGGGGGCTACACGTCCTGGGTTGGATTCCTGCTGAGGGTCACCCTGTTCATGTAGCTGGTCGGCTACATGTTATTGTTTAGCAAGAAGAGCATTTCGGAAGCATGCACGGCCAAGACCTCGAGACCCTTGTCCTATCTTGCAGCAGAACAGAGATGGGGCCTTAGGGGTGGGCAGGCTTTTCGGTCAAAATGACGCAGCCTCTGGGGACAGGCTTCTGGGAACCCTGACAACCTGCCAGCATGTCAGGCAGGCCCTCCTCCCCGCAGTGTCCGAGGCGTGGACACTCACAGCAGGTGTCCAGCCAGCAGGGAGCACACTCACAGGGCCCTCCCACCCCTAGGTCCCAGCCTAGGCTGACCAAGCCCATGCCCCACCCATGGCCTTCTCCCCGCTGGTTCCAGAGGAAAGAAAGGACCAAGGGCAGGACTCACTTCTTCCTTCCTGTGTCTGTGACTGTTCAGGGCCAGCTTCAGGTGCTCCCTCACCCCCGCGCCTGGGCTGCAGACAGGCCCTGCCCAGCCTCCCAGGAACGGGCTGGGGGCAGAGCCACGCCACAAAGATCCTCCACCCAAGGAGGACCCTCCTCCTGCTTCTAGACTGTTCCAATGAAAGGAATGTCCCCTTTCCCCGGTTGCCCTCCTCTGCTCTTGGAGGAAGAAAAAGCTTTCTGCCCCACGCCCCAGCACACAGTCCAGTGGGGGCAATTTTTCCCGAGAGCACAGTCTCAAAACCACCCAACGGGCATCAAACCAAATAGAAGTTTCTCTGCACTGCCTCCTGAGCAGGCAGCAGCCAGGAGGGGCTGGGACATCCCAGGAGCCAGAGAGGCTGGGCCAGGGGGCTGGGGAGGAGGCGGGGAGGACTGGAGGGACTGGGGGTGGGGGACAGCAGCGGGGGGGGGGGCATTCCGCCCACACTGACTCACTGGCAAATGCCATTGGCCACCACTCACTGGTGCAGTGCAGCCTTGGAGTGGGGCCCACTGAAGACGCGGAGATGAGAACAGCCCATTTCCTTAAGAAACACACAGTAGGTGCCTTTCCCCCTCCAGACAGGTCATGGGTGTGGGGAGAGCCACAGGCTTAGAGCGACTGAGGCAGCAGCCCACTGGCTCCGTGCATGGCGGAAACAAACAGAACAGAACGGAGGAAACACGCGACAACTCGGTGACACCGTGAAGGCTTAAATAAGGCCCGAAGGCGCTGAGGATGGCCAGCTCTGCGGGGCCCCTGCTCCGGGCTCGGACAGATGTGCAGGGGTCCTGACGACAGATGGGTTCAGTATGTGTTTGGGGCTCCTGAAAGGAGACGGCCGCCCGACCCAGAGCTGGGGCTCAGCCGGAGCCGGCTCACTGGGCACAGAAAGCCAGCTAGGAGCCCGTCACCGAGGCTCACCACTCGGCGTGGGGCCAATTCCAGCCTAGACCCTCCCCTCCGTGGAGGCCTCAGAACCTCAGCTGGTGCAAACTTTGCAAACTTTGGCCCTTGAATCCCTGCAGCAATTACCCAGGGGCACCCAGGCCCCGCCCGGACAGGCTGCATCGAGCCCCTTGGTGCCAGCCCGGCACCCCGGCAGGGAGCCAGCTGTCCAGGGGTTTCCGGCAGGAGCACCACCTATGTGAGGAGCAACCCATCGGGAGGGTCTTGCCTTCCCTCTGGGAGGCCTTTGCTGGCGTCACAGCTGGAGAGCTAAGGATGGGTTCGCTCTGAGTCGGCGGAGCCAGCTTGAACGCTCGGCAGCGCCCAGGTATCTTAGCCACTACTGATGACCAGTTAATTACTGCATTAATTTGACAAACTAAACAACCCTTGGTAAACACCCTCTCAAGAGTGTTTTTCTCCTTTTAAAAACTAGGCTCCCTCTTTTTTGAGGTCCCCCCCTGTGTTCTGTCAATCTGTGGGCAGCAGTGATGTCAATCAAAAGCTTAGAAAAGGTAAAAATAACAACAAACCCAAACCCACATTTGTTTAAAAAAAAACAAACAGATTTTTAGGTGAAGGGGACTTTGGTAGGAAAAAAAAATATTTCGATGGCAGCTCCCTCAAGGCCTATTTTGAATATTTATAAAACAGATTTTTTTAATTAAAAAGGTTTTTTTGGAACAGCCTTGCCCCAACACTGCACCACCCAGGCTACAAGCTGTCCACGGCTGTTGCGTTACCGTCAGTGGGAAGAGATTTCTTGGCGTGTCCTGCTGACACATAGCTGTCTCTGATTTTCTGTGGTGGTTGCTGCTCTTGTTTTTGTTGTGCCAAGTTCACGTGGACAGCCCCCGCAGCTGCAGGGGCCACAGTGCCAGCTCACACCGAGTCCCGGGCCCACCCCTGCACACTGCTCATCTAGTGAAAGTCCCCCACAGTCCTACCGGGTAGGTGCTGGCGCCCCGTTTTACAGACGAGGGAACTGGGGCTGAGCGGTCCCGTTAACTCGCACCAAGTCACACAACAAGTGGTGGAGAGTGGAGGCAAATCCAGGCAGTGCCCGGGTACCTTCACCATTACCAACGGCTGGTTAATTCACTGAGTTCATTTGGCAAACCGGGCGCCCCTTGGTAAACACCTCTCACGGGGCAAGTACGAGATGGGTCCTGGGAAAACATCGGGAACCATGAATGGTCCCTGCCCTCGGGGGTTGCCAGCCAGTTAAGGAGAGACCAACCGGGAAGGTCATGGCACTGAAACTGGGCACTGGGGATGCATAAAAGCCGGTTCTACGGGGCAGGGGTGAGGCCCAGGGTCGTCGTCATCATCCTCACCACCACCATCATCCTCATCACCATCATCCTCACCACCACCATCACCATCACCATCATCTATCGAGTGCTAACTACATGCCAGGAGCTGTGCTTGGTGCTCACCATTTATGAGCCTTTCAGTGCTTAAGACAACCCCACGAAGCAGGAACTATCATTATCCCACTTTAGGGATGAGGACACAGAGGCACAGACAGGATAAGCCACTAGTCCACAGTCGCTGGGCCAGCAAGCTGGGATGTGAAAAGATGAGTGGGTGCTGCTGAGCTGGCAGGGAACGGGTGCGGTGCCGCCCTCGAGGAGGCAGCAGTGGCGACGGCGGCTGCAAACTCGGACTCTGCAGGGCGGCCTGGCCGGCGGCTGCCCAGAGAGGACCACGCTGGGTCCAGGAAAGCTCTGCCACCAAACTAACAAAAACAGACATGTCCTTCAGGCAAGCATGGTGCCACTTACCAAGACAGAGAGCATGGAGGGGGGACTGGCCCGGGCAGCAGTTCTGGGGTCAGGGGGAGGTGACTGGAAGAGAGCCAGCCACCCACCCAGCAGGTTTGTGGCTTGGAGCCTAGGAGGGGTCAGGCTCCAGCCATGAACATGGGGCAAGAGTCACCCAGGAAAGCCTCCAGAGATTTCCAAGTTCACTGAAAATACAGATACCCCAGCAGACCCCCCCCGCCCTCAACTCACTGGCTAAGAGCCTCTGGTGCTGTGAGAGGGGATTAGGCCAGGACAGGGCCTTGGGGAACAGCTGCACTTAAAGGCTGGCGGAGGACAGGGGGCCAGCAAGACACTGAGATGGTGACCAAGAAGTAGGAGGAAAGCCAGGGGTGAAGAACGTGGAGCTTGAGGAAGAAGAGGTCTTCACAGAGGAGCGAGCAGTTTGTGTGAAATGCTGCCTGTGGTGGCGTGCGCTGGGGACGTGCCTGGCCGGGTCTGCTGGCCCTTTCGGGAGGAGGTGTGGCCGAAGCCTGATGAGAGGGGACAGAAGAGGGGACACTATTCTGGAGAGGGGCTTGGCTGGGGGCAAGGTAGCAAAAGCAGGATGGAAGAGACTCAAGTCAAGAGCAGGGGCTTTGGAGGAGACAAGGGAAGTCCTCAAGGCCAAGGGTACGGGCTTCCCAAGACAGGAAGGTGCCCCGACAGAGACCCTCCCTGAGGCGAGAGGAAGGCAGGGACAAGAACCGGGAGCGGGGAGCTGGGGGGAGCTCCCACTCAGAGCCTCTGTTTTCTGCCCCCAGATAGAGGGCACGACTGCTCACTGAGGAATGAGCTGCGGTGAAGGACGAGGGCGCTGGCCATGGGCAGGGTCACCCCCCTCT